TTTATTTTAGTCTGTTTTCAGGATTTTATGTGATCGGATAAAGTACATCCTATCGTGTAACAAATTAGCACATTCTTTAGACGTGGCGTACATTTTTTGTAAAGCCGTTGTTTAATGTTAAATTGTATCGAACCATTTCATAGAGCAAAATAGTTTTTCTCGCTTCTCCGGTCATTCACTTTGAATAAGATGATGATGTGTCGCTTCTGGTACCAAGTAAGCATTTTCAAAAAATATCTTACATAGACAATTACATAAATTATAGCATCGATGTGGCTTCGCAATATGCATTTTACTATGTAACTGATATTTTTATGGTTCAACCAAATCGGTCGCTAATATTACGAAATAAATTGGAATGCATGCCAAAATTGAGATCTAAATACTAGAATAATTGTTACTTAGAAAGGATTGGTAAGCACGTATGGAGATTGGTTGAAACACGTTTAGTAACTATTTTGAAGTCCCAACAAATAGATACATTCAGTATTTGAAGCGGAGGACTTCGTCAAACGGTGATGCTTAGTGCCTTTCTCAAATCAAGGGCATAGTGAGCGATTTAGAGCCAACACAAACCAGCGGAAGGGAAGGCAGAGGACATTACGGACACAAATTTATCGATATATATTTTATGTTATTTCAATTGACATTAGGTATTCTTTTTATGATACTGTGGCGGGACGAAAGAGTCGTAGAAAGCGACACGCCTGTCCATAGCAGCTGTAGTTCCACTCAGAGCGTTAGAAAGCAAAGGTCTGAGGAGTACTGCCACTGCGTTCGTCACACGGAGACATAAGTTGACAAGTCCCATATGCCCTTTAAAATCGGAACACAGTAATGCTCACATGACTGCTGGGCTACGCAAACTGAACTTCGGACCACTCGACTGTTTCGTAGGAAAATAAAATAAATGTCTAGTGAGTTTTATCATTTTACGGCAACCCCACACAATGCTTTAGGATTTTTTTCGGAAATGGGCTTTTTATTCCAATAACCTATATATGTAACGTTTTAAAACGTTAAAGTAGAACTCTTGAATGCCAAATATACATAGTTATGGAGAATAGTGCATTATTGCAGAGACCGAGAAGAGGGGTGCAGCAATAAAATGAGAGAGCGCCTTGAAATAAGTAAATAGGCTAATAGCTCGTCTAAGCGATGGTGAATCTTTAGGCATATCAAGTAGAGCACTTAACCTTTGAGGATCCGGTTTAACTATACCGTTTGCTATTCTATAGCCAAGAATATTTATCTCTCGAGTGGAAAATTCACATTTTTTTTTTGTTTGTTGTAAGCGAATAATGATCAGCAACCTCCAAAAATTTCTTAAGTCTCTCATCGTGATCAGCTTCATCCATACCGCATACAGTGATATCATCTAAGTATGGATACACTCCGCTTAGATTAGTCTTTCTGATTATAGTATCGATTGACCTTTGAAAACACGCTACTCCGTTTGTGACGCCGAAAGGTATACGAGTAAACTGATAGAGATTCCCGCAAGCTTCGAAGGCGGTGAACTGCTTGTTTGAGTCCAGGATTGGTATTTGGTGATAAGCTGATTTTAAGTCAATTTTTGAAAATACTTTCCATTTCGCGACCTTAGCTACGACATCTTCCATATTAGGGAGAGGGTATGCATCTAGGTATGTGAATTTATTGATTGTTTGCGAATAATCTATACACATACGCTTCTTGTGGTGTGTTCCAGAGGTTAGCAGAGTTTGGGCCCGCCATGGTGAAGTACTTTCTTCTAGTATTCCTTCAGAGAGGAGACTATGAATTTCGGATTCTATGAACACTAAATTATCACTGGCATGCCTTCTTGATTTTACAGCTATAGGTGTACAATTAGGGCTTAGGTCTGGAAAGAGGTTTACTGGTTCTATATTCGCTTCTTTAAAAGTCAAAGAGGGTTTGGGTCCATCAAATTTAATCTCTAATGATGAGCATTGCGCCATGATATCGTGTCCTATTATAACATCAGAACATAGATTCTCCATGACGCGAAGTAGCGTATCTGGATATACACTTCCATTTAACTGTATATCCGCATAACAGGCGGATGTTATCTGAGATTTTAGTACTTGAGAAGCCATTGATACGTTTTGTTTCCATGTACGTGTTGGAATATTGTACCTTTGTACAAGTTTTTCGTCAACAAAACTAGCTGTACTCCCAGTGTCGATTAGGGCTTTGACATTTATCCCATTTAGCTTTATGGGGAATACACATCTATTCAAGCCAACTGTAGCTACAAATAAACTAGACGAGATCGAATCTCCTTCTTCTGCATTTGCAGTAGATGCTGAAGTTTGACTCCGACATGATTTAGCGAAGTGCCCGCGTTTCCCACACTTTAAACACGTACTGTTAGCGGCAGGGCAAAACCGACGTTGATGTCTAAGATTTCCGCAGTAGTAATGTCAGGGACTGCTGGACGAGCATGAGTTACTAGGCTGAGCGCCAGCAAGGCCTTGTATTAAATACGAGTCAAGTAATGTCCGTTCCCGCCGAGGCTTATATAGTGCTTTTTTGTTTAGGAAATAATAAAAGACTACTTAAATGGAAAAGGCACGGAAGAAATGTGGTCTGTGGGAAAAAGTAAATGTGATATTTGACATGTTCGGGCTATTATATTGCTATAAGAAAATCTTATTATTTTTCCAGGCACATTAATAATAGTCTGCTGATCTTCCGAGGATATGGTTGAATATGTATCCATTGGTATATTTTTGTTATCGTTCTTCTCACGAGAAACTAATTTTCGCGATGAAAGTCCAAAACAAAACCGAAGAAACAAAAGAGTACCAAAGTCTTTAGTTTATTTACCACCATTTTCTTTTTTTTTCAAGAAGGCATTTTAATTCTCGCAATTAAGAACACTGGACAGTTGGTAGGTTTTCCTTTTGCCTGTTTACAAAGTTAATTGTTACAAGCTTAGAGCAGCGGACAATACTGAATTTTCATACTTAGTTTTACTTTGCAGGCCTTGGCCGGTAAGATACATGGTCCCTAAATTACAAACTTCCGTGTTTGTTTTTTAAAAGTAATGCAAACGTTTCCGAGCATGTTTGAGAAAAATACTTTTGTTTATATAAATTTCAACAAGTCAAAAAATAATCTACTCTCAAAAAATAGCACACGTGCTTACTTCGAAAATACTTCTAAGTTGCCACTTGACCTATTACCAAGCACGTAATTTTATTAGATTCTGAGTAATGTATCGAAAATTCCGCCGTATTTTAAAGAGATATTTATACGGATCATTATTGAAGTCTCATATTCATCATATTTTCTTACAAAAAACACTTCTACTGTAACCTTTAGATGTACACGTTTTTGATATAAAAAAATGTTAAAGCATTTATTCCTTACAACCCGGTAGATCTCTAGTTTCATCCCCTTAAGAGTTTTCATATCTTTTATTTAAGCGGTTTAGAGTTTCCTATACTTTTCATTCCCTTTGAGATTGAACTTCGAAATATCCCTTAAAGCGGGGGCTGCCGGTGCGTTGCGTAGTCGCAATTCTTATTTCAACGCACCGAGTGCCAGACGAGCAACGTGTTCTCGCAATCTAACGCTACTTACTTATTCACCGCTTCACCCCTCACCGCTTCGTCTCCAGTGTCTCTACCGACGACGAGCTCGCCGTAACTGATGTCACTAGCGACCGTGTAAATTACTACACAATTGCAAATTAAACAGCGCCCCTAGCGGTTTGCAAGAAGAAACAATATTTTGTATACAAACATTTTACGCGGTCGCTGGCGATAACTATCACCGCAATCTCATGGTAGAGGCACTGGTCACTTGTCCGATACGCACGCGTTCCGCCGCAACATGCCTCCTGGCATGTTGTTCTAATTCATATATAGTACGACGCTGCGTCAAAGCGCGAGCGTCGCCGATGCAACGCATCGTGTGGCCTTTACTTTGTGTATTTTTTTTTTGATACCTAGGACGGAACGAGCAAATCGTGCATCTGGTGGTAAGCGACACAGGACCAGCCATAGCAATTGCAGTGCCACTCAGGCAGCTGCCGCCTTTTTTGTACAGCGCCCCTAGCGATGACCTCTTGTCATGCTCTCGAGTAAAAGAGGTTGTATACAAAATGTTATTACACTTTCTATACAACCTCTTTAACTGGCTAGAGACAACTGCCACTGTAAACAACATTCCGACCACATCGCACCTCATGCGACTACGCTGTTATTTGGTAGCAGTAGAGCTTATCGTGAAAGAGTTCGTCCCGGGGAGTACAGCAACCTTACATATTTCTGCCGCCAAGCAGTAATTACTAAGTTAAAATGCGTGAAACCGGATTCACCCCCTAGTTTGCCACCCTTAGAGGTGGAATATTTTCTTTAAATTTAAATGGGATCAACACTGAGATACTGCCTATTGCTATAGGAATTATCTAAATAGCGCTTGAAAAATAGAAACTAAGGGTCGTATTCTAGAACTCTACCTGACTTGAGTATTGAGTAGAGTTCTGGGATACGACCCTCAGACACCTATAGTTAGAAGTTCCTTGACTTATAAAGAATCACAATCGATTCCGCAGGTAGTCTTCCACTAATCTATTATTATTGCCTAAATTCGATACAACATCGAGTGATCCTTATTGCACACCCTTTTCAATTAATTTTATTCGCTTGAAATCTATGAATTAATTAAATTATTAATGCTTTTGTGTCCTACCGGAATCAGCTTTCTTGGTATAAGAGGAAATAGCGGATAAGACTACATCCGCATTCCCATAGTTCGCCGAGGGACCGGATATTGAAGCTTTTATCTGCACAGCGTGCTGTTTACATCTGGTATGCTTTTGCGGTTAGCAAGATAACGGCCTGCACGGTAGATATTGCGCTAATTGCTAATCGTCCGATTATTTACGGGCGTGCAGTGTAGTGTCAACAAACCCTTGGTTTCCCGGTGCGGTAGGGCGGCCGGTGACCAGCGGCCCCCACCACGTAGAAAGTGAACGTGCTGCCGCCGTCGATGCGTCGCGTGCGCACCACCAACACACGCGGCCCGACGGTGACGCGCGTTGTACGCCGCCCTCTAATATTGTAAAACTAATTACAATAACGTATTCTGCAAGTCTAAAACTCTTTATTCTTTGTGCCAGTATTAACTCTGCTACAATAATGAACACTAAGGTATTCCTGATTCTAGGTAAGTTCTAAATGTTAATTTTATTTGTTAATTGCATTATTACTCTAAATTATTTTACTGGATTACTATAAGTTGCTATAATGCAACGAAGTTAAAAGTTTGTACTAACAAAATCACATCTAGACATTAAAATTATCAGTAAGTACTTTTGAGTTAAGATTTATGGGGAGCAATAGAAAACGGAAATTTAATATTTTTGCGGTGGATGCGTGTAAAACCGCATGGGTCGAGTGACGTCGCGTACCTTTAGCGCACGTAATTCGGTATTCTTCATCCTAGTGCAAGCAAATTAACCTTTGGCAAGGAAACCGCCGACTAAGCTAAATCGACAAGTTTATGTAAATATGGTGAAACTGTTCCCTCGACGAGACATTGTTGTCGTAAACTTGCAAGGGAAACGCGCGTCCATCCGATTACATTGTATTTGACTAAGAACATTGGCTATAAGTATCAATTTAATGCTACGACAACGCCTGACAAATCTTATTGAAAACAAATATTTTAAACTGTCTTGAAATCAATTTGTATTGAACCCATATAAAGTAAAGACTCAAACAATTAGGTCGCGAATTTCTGACTTTTCGACGTCAATTAGAAGTAGGTTTGATCAACAATAAAAATAGTGAATCATATGAAACAAAAGGTATAAATGAGCGAAGCGAAGTTAAAGCGAAGGCGAAACATATTGCGTTAGCGAATGCTTTTTTAAGGTAAATGTTTCTAAAGGGATCTGGCAGTGTCAGTCAGGTAACAAAAGTAGACAGAGAAGTTAGGTACCATAGAGTGTATTAGTGATGCTTTTAATGCAATTCAATTTAAGAACTCTCAACTGAAAAATTCGTTGAAACCAGGCGCAACGTCGAATCGGACGCTATTAAAAACAAACAGAATGGTAGTTTTAGGAACTGAAATTAAATTCCAACAGACGTAGCTGAGTTACTATTTTGAAAAGATTTTTTTTAACCGACTGCATTTGAATGAAAGTCTTTTCTTAAGTTCATTTTCATTTGGACAGCTTTATCTTAATTAAATACTAAGTTATTAGAGATATGTTGCAATTGAAGTACAAACCGTACGAAATTAGTTATTCACTTCTTATGCTTTAAAAATAGGTATGTCAATTAGCCTTACGTAGCGGGGGTAAAGTGCATCCTTCAATAGCTAGGGAGCAAAAAGTGCCAAATTTTGTAATTTACTTCGAGTGATTTAACTCAAACAGCCAGTAGTACGCACGGTTTTAGTTCCGTGCCTTTTCTGCATAGATGGTGGCGCCATATTATTTTCCCGCGTTTGTTATATCTGTGTCTGATTGAAAAAAAAAAATATACCGCGAATAATTCAAAATGTTACTTCGTAATTTTGATATAGACCGAAAACGATTGAATTTTTTTCTCGCAATCGAAGCGAAAAGCAAAGTTTTCATCTCGAGACTCAAAGCCGCCAATATAAACCTTCGGAGTAATAGACACCCTCGCTAAGGGTCGGGTGTCTAACCGCCTCGGGTATGTATTGGCTCGTTTTAGTCCTTCGATAAAAAATATACTATTAGTGCCATTTCGGCCAATTAATATTTTAAATGCGAGAGTAACTCTGTTTGTTACGTTTACACGTCTAAGTCGCTACACCAAATGTGATGAATTTTGGTATAGATATAGATGGGACCTAGGAGAAGGACATAGGCTACTTTTTGTCATAAAAATAAATCTTAAAGGAGTAAAACAGGGGATGAACGTATGTAAGGAAAAGCAATCATTTTCATGATAGTCGACGTCGCGAGCGCCAGTTAGTAATTAATAATAAAAACTTTATATGATAGGTCTTTGGCAATTTTAGGCAAACTTCTGACAAAGGGGAAAGAAGCCTTGCTACCAGGAAACAATTCGACTTGAAAAACGACGTACTTAAATCTGGCGTAAGCAAACATTTACTTATTTCGTGGTAGTCATGTTTCACATAATAGTGGTCGCACGTTACATCGACAATTCAGACCACACGGTCATATATTTAATGAGAAGGAACTTATATTGTGTAATCAACATTACCAAATATCGTGCATGTTACTGAGTTTCCATAATGACTTATATATCTGGAGCATCTCAGTCGAAATGTTGAAATAATATTCTGCGTCATCATACGTATCCTATGCAGTTTACAAGCCGTAGAGCTCCTTATAAAAGAGTTCGTCCAGGGGAATACTGCCACTACATATTTCTGCCGAAAAGCGGTACTCTACTACTACATACTGGTCGAAATTTAATTTAGAGTAACAGTTAAAATTAACTAGTAAAAGAGGTTGTGTACAAAATGTTACTTTCTTGTCGTCGCTAGGGGCGTTGTACGAAGAAGGTGGCCAAGTACCACGTGACAGGTGTATTCTTATGAAATATGTAGTTCGTCCAGTAAATTACCGCTACGTTACCTATTTCTGCCACCAAGCAGCAATGAGAGTATTACTGGGTTCTGGTTTTGTAAAGATATTGGTAAAATTACAGGCATATAGGACTTCTTAACGTATGTCATGGAATTACATCTATTGCCAAGTTTTGTTGAAATCGGTTACCGGAAATGCTCGAAACCGGATACATCCCCTAGTTTGCCACCGTTAGTCTGGAATGTTTTCTTCAATTTTAAATGCGATCGTCAATCATCAAAAATCGTTTTACAAAAGAAACAATGACGGTACCACAAACACCCAAGATATAATATAGAAAAGTTAGTTCGTATACTGACCCGGCCGGGGATCTAACCCGGGACCTCAGAGATAGCGACACCATGAAAACCGTGTGAAAGCCACCCGACCGTAGGGGTCATCACATTTATTATTTATAAGGGCGGTAATTCTCTAAACTATAATTTTATAATACCAACATGAAATAATCATGACAATGTTTGAAGGTAATGGTGTTGTTTTATACATATTTGTACAGACATAGTGTTTATTATACGCATAGTGGAAGAAGATCTATTACTATAACAATTTGTTTCTTATGTGCGCTTTTTTTTAGAACTGCTTCATTACCTAACAGAACAAAATTGAAATTTCAACAAATTCGGTTTGATTGCTAGCATGTACAGACAGCACCTGTTTTGATTGATACATGTGCCTGGAATTGTGAAATTACAGGCACACGGGACTTGTCAACTTATGTCTCAGGGTGTGGCAGTGGCAGTGCCCGTCAGATCTTTGTGATTTAAAACTCTGGCTGGCACTGCAACAATTATGGCCAGGCGTGTTGATTATCACTAGACACGATTTTTTCGTCCCGTCACTAATAAATAAATAAACAAAATGAAAAGAAATACTCTTCCGGTTAACACCAGTACCCTACAGTCATCTATCCCTTACACGTTCTACTTCTGGGCACGGTGTCCTTTTAGCAGAGGGCTTACACTATGAGGGTTGGGGATGTTAAAAGTTTTTCAAGGGTTGTAAACCTTACATTACGAAGGTTTTTTTCACTGTTAGCGAGAGGTATTAAAAATTCACAAAGTAATAGATACATACATACATACATACATACATACTGTTATGGGCAGGCGTGTAGCTTACCATCAGGCACACGACTTGTTCGTCCCGTTACTTAAAGTCATAAAAAAAAAAAAAAAAAAAAAAAAAATACCGCCACAGGAATTCGAACAGTGGACATCTCGATTGAGAAGCAATCGTTTCCCCATCATATACAGACTGATGTAAAAAGTAATTTAGATTTAATATTGTGAAGAGTTTTGTAAAACAGAGTATAGTTTAAAGTGATCTGTGCACTTCATTTCATTTACACTACACTCTGTTTAGAAGCAAGCAAATAAATACATATAAATTTTGAAACCGACGAGAATAACAACAGAATAGGAAGCATCAAGTTTCTGGGAACCACAGAACAATGGATGGGACAGTAGTCTTTTTACATAGCACTTTATGCCTGTTGTTTTCCTTCGTTTCTCAATGCGAATTGCGTTAACAATGTCTCTTTTTTGTCTTCGGTTGAGTTAGGCTTTAGCGTGTGCCATTGACGCGTGTTATTAGGGTTATTCTTCCGGTTAATGGCAATTTTATATTGTTTCGACATAGTGTATTGACATTCGATAGTTGTAGTACCGACCAGTGTACATTTTCATCTCTTTTTTTATATTAATTGAAGGGTCGAAGAATTCGTGTGTCTGGTGGTAAGCGACATGCTTATCCACAGCGCCCATTCCATGTGCCTGTCGTTTCACCAGCCCCTATATCCTTTAAAACCGGAACGCAGTAATGCTCACATTACTGTTTGGCGGCAAAAATAATACGGTGGTAGTACTTCTCTGGACGAACTTTTCGAACACGAAAAGCTCTACTGTTGTGGATAATTTAACGCTGATTATAATTATTAATATAAATATCGAACACTTAGGAAAAAATCTATCGATCCGGGTGGATTCGAACCAACGTCTTCGTGCCAACCAACGTGTTCCAATCATGATCTTTAAAAGATATCCTTCATCTTCAGCTTTATAGTGTTATAGCTCAATCGATCCAATCGATGATTCCGCCAATGTCACGTTAGGAAGACACGCGTTTTTTACTAAAAATTTGACAGGTGAAGTTCGATAGAATTCGCTGGAAGGAGAATTAATAAATATTTATATAGTTTATTTATTATATGTAATAGCCACAATTAATAGTAAAATAAAATAAAATGTCAATGGTTAAAATAAATTAAATGTCAGAAATACGATTTATAGAAGCTGACAAGATTGGATACTGCAGTGTTATCGAAACTGACAAGTTTGTGATAGCTGCAAATGTTAATGCGATTTATGAATTCAAATTTTCAAGTGCATTACCTTATGTGGGACGCAATCGCGATGTGAGAATCGCATAATCAAAGCCCACTATTGATTTCACGTTGCTTCGTCCCGCCGTCGTATAGTCTTTAGACGTAATGGAAATTGCATTCTAACGGAGGTCACAACGAGAGCGTACTTCATATTTTAATGAAACATATTTGAACCGACGTTGTACT